AGAGAGAGAGGAGAGCTCAGTCTGCAGGATGAAAAACGATTAAAGTTTAAAGAGTCGCCTGAAGAGATCCAAGTTTCACAGAGAGAGAGAGAGAGAGAGAGAGAGAGATACTCACTCTGTTCAGAAAACTGAACGCAAACATGGATTCAAGTTTTACAGTTTGTCTAATTATTAATAGTTCCCTAAGCAACCTTTTTTTTATTTTCATGCACTCGCAGCACTTTGGTTAAGGTCAGTGAGAAATGGTGCTTTTGTTTGAATAAACAGGTTGTGAAGTGTCTGAAGTCACTGTGAACTTTCTCTGTATCAAACCAGACTAAGATCTTTCCTGAACCTTAACCAGGTTCTGTGAGAGTCTGAACAGAACCAGTTTAATAATGCTCCCAGCTGGACTTTGAACTGTGAGATCAGATATTTTGTGAAAAACTGATACTGATATTGATGCTGATACGTTCAATATCAGCGTATTTGCAACTTGTCAAATGCATGAACTAAGAACATGTCCTCATTATGCAGAAAACATATAATCCACTCATCGTTACGTGTCCTTCAAAATGTATTTGATGTTCCCCCATTCTTATTGCACATTGTACATATTTATATTGTTTTTATATGTTTTTTCTATTCATATTTAAGCTACGTGACCTGCAGAACTTGTTTTTGCTTTATCTTTCTTTATATTTTTCCTTCTTACCATGTTGATTTTTACGCACCACAATCACTTCATATGTGAAAACCCAGATACAAAATACAAGAGTCAGCAAGTGCTCACAGTATCTCATTGTGTTTCATGTATTAAATCTGTGACACAGTTTATAAAATGTTAATAATGAACTCTATCTATCCGTCTATTGATCTGGATTGAATTGAATTTGTTCCTGATGCTGCTGGAGGCCCCGTCTGTTTTGTTTGTGTTTGTTTGGGGTTTTTTTCTGTCACACTGCTGTTGATATTTGACTCCAGTAATTAATTAATCCCGATTGGGACTGTTTTTCCCTCGGGGGCTCGTTGATTTAGTTTTTGATTCATCCAAGTTTCAGTGAAGAGGATAATGATGATGAAAAGAGTTTTCTGTTCAGGCTGAGATGTGTATTTATAGAAACAACTATTTTCCCATCAAAGATTTGAAACTTAATTACACATAAATAATAAACATTTAAAAAAAAAAACACTGACATTCCCAGTGGGTCTCTGTTGGGTAAAATTCTGCTCCTCACATCGGTACTTCATTGGTTTTTATTCTTATTTTTATTCATTTTCTTTCAGATTTTACTCATGTTTATTCTACTTTGTAAAACTCTTCTATTGATTATAGCCACTTTAAAGCATTATTATCTGTCTTGTTCAGTACTGGAGGGACTGTGTGTTTGTGTTGGACTACAATAAAGGTAAGTTTAAACTTCATTATAAATCCTCCCTGTTCTCTGAACACTGTTGGTCGAGTTCTTATTCTCTCAGCGTCCCTCCTGTTCGTTTCAGACACGACTAATAAAGTTGAGTTGAAACTTGTTTAACTCCCTCGAGGTCCTGAAGAAGCCTCCAGCTCTCAGACTCGATGTTGGAGGGCGAGGAGCTCAGAGCCACCGAGTCGAAGGCGACAGGAAGTCGACTCCCTGTTTCCCTCCATCTCCTCGTCCTGAGCGTCTCTCCCGGGTTTGGAGATCCTCGTGACGACCTGACGGCGAGGATCTGACGTCGGGGAGCTTTCAGACACTGGTACGTCTGTCTCTGTCAGCAGGAAGTCTCTGGAAAAGCAGCTCGCGGGCTCTGGTTTGATGGGATGATGGGAGTCGTGCAGATGCTCAGCGAGAAATTAACCATTTAGATTCTGAATATGTGATCAGTCTCTGAGGTCATCCTGAAATACTCACACAGGAACAAACAGGCTTTTATTTTTCTATTCTTGGATTTTCTACAGTGTGTGTGTGTGTGTGTGTGTGTTCAGAAAGTGTGTGTGATGGGAGGTGCGGAACCTGCTCGCACAGACGAGGTCAGAGGTCGTCAGAAGACAAGCAAGTGCCGTTGTGGAATCCGCTGAGTGGCGCACTTCCTGTTTGACCTCTGACCTCGAGCATCCATCCCATAATCACATCCCCGCTCCGTCCTCCGTCCTCTGTCGACTCACACATCAACATCAGCATCAACACTGAAGTAAATCTACAGCAGCAGGTTCAGTTTGTCACATAAAGTGCAGAGAGACACTTTAACACACCAGAGCTATATTTTATAACTAAATGATCTACTTTAGTTATTCATTGCTAATCAAACCCCCAAAATGATTTTCATTATCACTTAATCTTAATATGGGCCCCAAATTATGTATTTTACATTTTTAGATTCAGCTCCAAAACACAAACTTTGTGTCTGTTGTGTTTTTGTCTCTTTGCAGACACAAAACACTCGCAGAGACTCTGTGAGGCTCCGGTGTGTGTTTACACATCTGTGCCAAATGTCCAAACTGTTGTTAATTTACTTTGAATGTTATTTGTGTTTAATTGTCTCTTATTTGTTCTCTTCGCAGATCCAGATCCTTTTGTTTCCATCTCTTGGTCTTTGTGAAATCACATGAAGCATCTTTTCCTATAAAAAGTGTTTTTTAAAGACATTTATTATTGTTGTCTCTGGCCTTGTTATTATTTTTTTTTCTCTTTATCTTTGTCCCTTTCACTTGTGACCAAACTGTCGCAGCAGCGTCTCGTCGTCTAAAAAACTCTCCTTCATCAAGGTCGTCCCGAAAACTCGCTGCCGTCATCATCATTAACAAACTGCTTCGTTTTCCAGAAACAACAAAAAACAAAAAAACAGCCACGTCTGCGTAAAAATAACACAACATTAAACTTAAACGACTGAGCCCTTTACACACACACACACACACACACACACACACACACACACACACACACACACACACACACACACACCTTTTTTCCTCTGGCTGTTAGCAGTTAATAAATAAAGGAAATGAGCAGAGAGAGCTCATTAATATCAGTGAAGGTGAACAGCTAACAGCCCCAGGAGGCTGCTGCTGCTGTTTATACAGGAAATGAATGGAGAGAGATGACCAGAGCTAATGCTAATGCTAACACACACACGCACATAAAGTGAGAGACTCTTATGTTCCTGTCCATAAAATAGACCTTATATATTTACCTATGGGAAAATATTGATTATAGATTATAGATTGTTGTGTCTGTGTTCTCTCTTCATTTTCTTCCTCCTCCTTGTTTTCCTCTTCTTCTCTTCTCTCTCAGGACCTCCGTCACCACTGTTGTTGGAAACCATTGTGTGTGTGTGTGTGTGTGTGTGTGTGTGTGTGTGTGACCTTGGCTGGACTAATTATTTATATGGAGGACACAGCACGTTTTTCTGCCTCTAATGATTCATAAACAATTTTAACAGGATGAACTCCATCAGGACCTTAATTAGTCCAACACACACACCCACACACACACACACACACACACACACACACACACACACACCATATATATTAGTGGAAAGTGGAGAGAGATTGAAGAGGACGTTCACCATCATGTAGCACCACCTGTTGTCACCTGCTTTGTGTAGGTCTGTTATTGCGTCACTTGATTGACTAATTGATTAATCAAGTAATCGATGCAGCTCCACTAATTTAAATAATTTTAAATACTGTTTGCTGGTTCATGTTTTATCACAATTTGTGTTGAATACTAAACTAAACTAAAGTTGTGTGTGAGTGAAGCTCAGGTGAGTGTCAGCAGGTTGGAGCAGGTGAACGAGGCACAGCTGGAGGTCAATCAGGCGGCAGGCGGAGCCAAACTCCAGCTCTACAAAACTACCTGCTGCCCAGGTGAGTGTGTTTCAAACAGAGGAAACAGTGAACACGCTAACATGATGTCAATGAGATCACTCTTCTGTCTGTTCTGTGGCGCTTTAGCAGCAGCAGCTCAGTCTGAGTTAAACTGGAGGATTCAGTCTGCGGACCAGAGACCAGATCCACCTGAAGTCCAGGAGCCAGCAGGTAGACCTGATCCACATCACAGGGATCAATACAACAATGAAGTGCTTTATCTTGATCAGTGGAAACACTGACACTGGAACTCTTTAAAGTTCCTGGTTCAGTGATAAAGATTCAGAGCGACATGCTCATTAATAAATCAGGTGTTAATATTTGAGTTTAAGCTTTAAACTGAATGTTTGTCTCTTTAGAAACGTTCAGCAGCAGATCAGACATTATTCACCTGAAGGAACAAGAAAAATTTAAATGGTTTCTTCAGCCTCGATTCATGAGTCAGAACCAAAGTCACAAAGAAAAGTTTCAGCCCATTGGGTTACTTTATACTTCTGCTCCATTACAATTGAGAGGTAAAATGTTTTATTTTCTTCAACCTCTCTAAATGAATTATGGTCCATGACCTGTCAGATGAACAAACATGGTGCTGCAGTTAAAAAATTATTTATTTTATTTTTTAAAATCTTTCCTCTCCAATTTTCCTTGACCTTAAATGAAAAACATGAGGTCAAGAAAAGGTGTGAAGGAGAACTCATAAGGAAAAGAGAACAAAAGATGATAAAAACTCTTTTCCTAACCACAAAATGAAGCTGACAGGATTGAAATGTTGAAATAATTTCACATCAAAGGAACAAAACAAATCAGACTGATGGATAATGTCACCCTCAGCCGTCCAACAGGAGAAGCAGTCATTCCACCAACCTTTAACATGGAGGTATCCGGAGCCGCCGGCTGAGGAGGAGCCTCGCTATCCTCAGGATTTTGAGCTGAAAGCTCCGACAGCGGCCGCCAGTGTCGGCGCCGTCTGCGGGGAGAGCTCTGTCCGGGTGGAGGCCAAGAAAGACCTGCTGGGGATCGGTAAACCTGTCCTGTCTGCGGACGTCACGCTGGGAGGGTGTCCTGCCACAGGAGAGGATCCTGAAGCTCAGGTCCTGGTGTTTGAGTCGGAGCTGCACGGATGCGGCAGCCAGCTGCTGGTGAGGGCTCCTTACGACTCCTTACGACACTCTGGGACGTCCATCTTGTCTCGCCAAAAACATGACGTTTTGTTTAGGTTCAGATGGATCTAATCTTCCAGTAACTGACTTGAGAATCCAAGTTTACACATTTTTGACACAAAGCATAAATCTCATCTTTGTGTAGGTTGTACGTGTAACCGTGGCTGGCGAGAACTCAGCAACTCCTCCGACCTGAACGACCACACAGGTCGTTTGTTCCAACCCTCTGTTACGACCCTCAGGAGCGTCGCCATGGTTACTATGATACCAGTCATGGCTTGGTTAGGTTTAGGAAAAGATCGTGATTTTGTCGTTAAGATAAGTACTTCCTCAACATTAGACGATCTTTTGTTGTCATGGTTACAGTAATAACAACGTGGCTCACTTTGGTCACGGATAACAAACATAAAAAGCTACTTTCACGTGGGAATCGAACACCGCTCTCCTGGTCTCTCTTTATACTACGTCACCGACACTTTTCCCTTCACTTGTCATAATTACTGCGACCACTAGGTATCGCCTAGCAACAAAATGGGTCATAGTAACCAGACGGTAAAGGTGCTGTGACGCCAAAACCAGGAGCTGAATGAGTCTGGAGGTCGGAAACAATTCTCTCTGGATTCTTGGAGACACTTGACCGTTAGCTGGTTAATTTCCGTGTCCAATATATGGAGGTTGATTATGTGTCGTCCCGCCTGTTACTTCCTGTCTGTTTGCAGATGTCCGAGGACTCGTTCGTCTACGTCTTCATGCTGATCTACACCCCCAGTCCTCTGGGAGACAGTCCCATCGTCAGGACCAGAGACGTCTCTGTCCGCATCGAGTGTCACTACTCGAGGTCAGACTTCGACCACTCAACCTGTTTTTTTAGTCTTCAGTCATTTCACTGTCTGCTTTGTTGAAATGTTTCTGGACGTTTTGGCTTCTGCTATTGGGGAAACATTAAAGGTGTTTTTTTTTTTTATTGTCTCTTTTAGGAAGCACGATGTGAGCAGTGCGATGTTGAAGCCGACCTGGACTCCGTTCAGTGACACCAAAGTTTCAGAGGAGAATCTGGACTTCTCCCTCAGACTCATGACTGGTGGGTGCTTGTTCTGTACTGAACATTAGTGATCCTTGCAATGATTGAGACTAATGCTAAAAGACTTGACTTAAAAAAATCAATCAGTCTGTCTCTGTACTAAAGAGCCACAGTGTTTTTCAGCTTGTCTGATGGTAGAAATCCTCTTTGATTACTTCTAAATTAAAGGTTAAATGTCCTGACGAGTGCGTTTCTGTCTCTCAGACGACTGGCAGTTTCCTCGTCCTTCCACCCAGTTCCTGCTGGGAGACATGATGAAGTTTGAAGTGTCAGTCAAACAGTTTCATCACGCCCCTCTCAGGGTGACGGTGGACAGCTGTGTGGCCACCGTGGTCCCAAACATCGACACCGTCCCTCGATACGTCTTCATGGGAAACAACGGGTCAGTTCACTGTGCTGGTGATTTTTTAGTTTCAAACTCCTTATGATCCCTTGTGTTGCATTTGGGCGCCTCTGTCTGACAGGTGTTCTGTGTTGCGTTTAGGTGTCTGTTTGACAGTCAGCTGACGGGCTCCAGCTCTCGGTTCCTGCCTCGGTCTCAGGACGACAAGCTGCAGTTCGAGGTGGAGGCGTTCAGGTTCCAGCAGGACGAAAGCGGCGTGGTGCGACTCAAACACTCTGCACTTTGAACTTTCATTATTTCAGTATCAAACTTTGATTTAAAGCCTCTTTGTCTCTTCAGATCTACGTCACCTGCAGCCTCAGAGCCACAGCAGCTACTGCAGCTGTTGACATCGCCAACAAGGCCTGTTCATTCTCCAACGGGTGAGACGCCACCAACACTACAGTTCCCATCATCCTCTCTGCTGCAAACACTACAAATACTTCTTTAAATGATTAACTGACATTGTGATTTGGTTCTGAAATAAGACAAAGCAAAGGTTTCACAAGGGAAAGTCTCTTAAGTGAAAAAGCTTACAAGACAATTAAATTGCAGAGTCAGAAATATTAATTTCCATGAAGAGATGTTGCTGAATATGTTTAAAGTTTTTCTAATGAATAATTGACACAAACTATAAAAGTATTAAACAACCATCAGAAATAAGTTAATAAAAATGTGTCGCTGAGGTGATGGATATAAAAAAAAAAATCTCCTGATGTGATGAGACACAATCTTAAACATCTGTACTGGAAGAGGAATAAGAGCTTTTGATTGACAGGTGGATGGAGGTCAGTGGCAGCCATCACGCCTGTTCCTGCTGCGACACAGACTGTGGGACAGGAAGCCAGAGTCACCTGACCGGGACAGGTAAGTGGGTGTGTGCGTGGCTGGTTGGATCAACATGACATTTTTATAGAAACCTTTTTTGTCTTAATTGTGGAGAGATTTATTTTCGTTAGTTGGATTTTGCACTAATAAAGCTGTTGCATGGTTGATGGTGACTTACGTCAGAGGGTCAGCTAATATTACAGATGGCTCTCAGACTGGCAGCTCTAGTCTACAATATCAATATTTATTTATTTAATGTCACACAAACTTTAGTAAGTGGGATATGAAGAAAAATAACATTGTGCAGATGTGAAGCCCTGACAGTCAGTAATGTCAACTATCATCTTGTTTTTCTGTCTTTCCTGTGTATTTAATGTTTTCAGTTAATTCATGTAAGATTTAAAGGGACAGTAATCACTTCTGCCCATCACCTATAAAAATATTTTAGTAGCTGACCCTCTAATACAGAACGTCATTAAAACAACTGGAGAATAAGTTCAAGCTGAATAGTCTGAACATTTTCTGAGGATCAGATCTAACAGGAAGTTTCTGTGACGACTCTTACTGCCTCCTGTTGTCGCCTAGCTACATACATTTCCTGTGGCTCCATCTTTACATGTGAAAGACACTTGTAGGGAAAAAATACCAATAAATAACTACAAATTTGAATGTGACAATTCAGCAGCTTTACTACAAAGTTACATCTGAAGTCACATTCATTCTTCTATAAATACCTGTTTTTGTGTATGAAATGGTGTATGCATGTGTTTTTTGTTTTTACTTTATTTTACATTAAGATTATCAGTGGATGAATATTAATCAAAGTAATTCTAATTGACTTGAGAGTTTTTCTTTTTTTTTAAAAGGCACAAATCAACAGGAACCTGCTGTAAAGTGGTTGGTGTGGTGATTGTGTTTCAGGTTCTCGGTGGGAACAGGAAACGGCTGTCGGGCCGATCGTGGTGAAGGAGAGACCTCTACAAAGAAAAATAAACGACTGAATGAAGAGAATGAGATTAAAGCTCTTGTGTTCTATTGAGAAACTGGTGCATGTGTTTTTGTTGTCATGGTGAAATCTTGAACGAGTTTCCATGATGCTAATGATGCTGTGGCCCTCTGAGTTTACACAGACGCCATAACTTACTGTGTTTAACTTACTGAAGTCATTCAACCCGTTACTGTGATTCCAGAGACTGACCCAACACTTGTTCTCAGATCGCTGTGCAGGGACATCTGCTCTGCACCTCCACCATCGTCCATTTTACATGATAACACCTGAGTGGACACTGCTGGAGAGGCCGTGTCGCCATGCATCATACACACGACTGTTTCCTATATATAACCCTGACCTACACCACCAGCACCACCACCCTCCTCCTCCTCCTCCTCGCCATCGAGCCGCCGCGGCCTGAGAGTCGGGAGGCAGCAGCATCCATCACGGGCCGGAGAGGAGCTTCCTGTCGGACTCATCCGTCTCTGCTCTCCGTCTCTCAGGGGAGGACGGGACGACCTCAAACTGAGAGGTCACAGGGTCACACTCAACAAAGTCTTCAAAATAAAAGTCTCTGCAATCGGAGTACAGAGATGATTTTATTTTGTTTTTATTATTTATCCATTACTTTACTAAATTAACACTTAAACATTATCCAAAGAGCCAAGGAAACTTTCAGTTTTTTACAAGTCTGGTTGTGGACAAAATAATATGAACTTGACTTTAATTTGATGCCTTTTTGACCTTCAGTATGTAGGTCCATGATCTGGATCAGATTCAGATCCTCAAAGGTAGAAGGTTGATGACAGGTGAACCACAGATTTATCAGCTGTTTCTGTATCAAACCAACATCAACACTTTCACATCGTCTTAACTCTGTGGTGTTCAGGTTTCTGGTCTCAGTTATTTCTCTTTTTGATGGATGAGTCCGTCTGAAGTTCAGGTGAGACTGACACCTGTCAGGAACATCTGCTGACAGTAGTACACCTGGTCCTGGTCTCTGATAATCCTGATTATTAACTGATAGCTCAGAGCTTTTGACTTGCTCTCAGATTTCCTGTCATCAAACACCCCGCCACAATAAAACACCAGAATCCTCATCACTTCCACGTCATCTGTATCATATCAACCTCAACTCTTGTTTAGAAACCTGATCAACATCCATCAGAAGTAGATCCAGTTTCATCAGCACAAGGACGGACGGACCACAGACAAACAGGCTGAATGTCAAGAGTTTTACTTTTCATATATTTATATATACTGTATATATATATATATATGCTTCTATGTCAAACCTTGATTCATATAAACCTTCATTCAGAGTTTCCTCTCCCTCCTGTTTGAGCTGAGATTAAAATTTATTGGTACAAATAAACAGTTTGAGCCAATCAAACAAAAATGAATAGAAGCTGAATATCCACACACACAGAGCAGTGTGTGCAGCAGCAGCTCCCCCTGCTGTCCCTGAATACAGCATCCTGGGTTTTTGGGGGGTTTTTTGGAAAGAAATTAAATGAGAAGAGCTGCCAGTCAAAGAAACATCCTGGAAAAGAAAGGAATTAAATCAAATGAAATGTCTTTAAAAACTGCCCTGATGGTCACAACAAGCTTCACGTTATCGCTGCTTCTAAAAGTCACATAAATGTTTTCTCTTTTTCTTTATATGTCCTGATACAACACAATTTAAAGTGACAGATGTTCAACATTGGCACATTTCACCACAGATTTATATTATCTTTATCGATGCTTTTATTCATTTCCACTTCATTTTTGTTTTGTTTTTTGTTGTTTCCATTTCAGCAAATGTCCTTTTATTTCATCCCTGTTTATATATTTATACATTATAGATATAATACATTGTTAATGTTAGTTATTCCTGGATATTTAAAGATTTCACAAAAGTAAAAAATAATCTTTTAAAAACTGAAACTGAAAAACTGAAAAACTGAACTGGCAGATTTTATTTCTGTCTGTTTTTTCAACTTTCATTGACGTCTTTAAGACAACGTTCAGAATAACTCATGGATGTGAGGACGTGATGACGTGTTGAGGTCACACGCAACAGATTTGTGATGCTTTAAAGTGCATCATTAAATGTTGGAATATTTGATTAACACCGGAAGACGAAAAGAGGTAGATAATTGTCACATTTTGTTATGTTATCAAGTTTGATTATAAAATGTTTACAAAGAGTAAATATTTCATACCGATGATTATTCTGACAATTTGTAATTGGCCAGTACAAAGCCTGTCAACATTAATATTCATGGTCACAGAAATTCTTCATTCTTTCATAATCTTTTTGAGGACAGTTTGCTGCAATTCACCATTGTTCTTCTTATAAATATAACTGACAGCAGGTTCCAAAGGTTAGTGATAATAATAATATTTTTAAAATGCGGCGGCAATAATCAAAATAACTTCCTTCAGTACTATATATATAACATTAGTAGTTTTTATTTTATTCTCTCTCTCTGTTAAAAATTGGATATTCTTACCTCTTTGAGTCTGGGTGTTGCCCTGTATATTATAAATCTTAATTTGAAATGTAACTAACAACTATATTTATCATAGAAAGTTAATGGAGTAAGAAGTATAAAATAACATAAAACAGACTCATCTACTCATAAATAATTAAAAATGTAATTATATTTAGGTAATTGTTTTTAAGTATAGTGCTTGAGCAGGTATTTAGTTACTTTCCACCACTGTCAGTCAATGAAGGTATTAATATCACACCAAAAGGTTTGAATACCAAAGGTGAATTAGGAAAATATAAAAATCCGAGTTTTCTGGTAGCACCCGAACGCACCACCTGGCTCCTCCTACATCCGGTAAGAAACCGCTATCTGTCAGAAAAAAAAAACATCCCGAGCTGAGAACCGCTACACGGACCCGCTCTCCTGGGACCACCGCCGGATTATAGGTGTTTATTTTCGGGGTTTGAAGCCTCCGCGGACACAAAGAGAGAACATGCCCTGCCGGAGGTAACCGACCGCGGGCTGCTGCTGCCTCCTCAGCCGGCTGAAGGACGGGGCAGGACGGACAGACGCAGATGGAGAGGTCGGGCAGGCTGCTGCTGTTGTCGGAGCTCCGCATCAGAAACACCGCGTACGACGTGAGCCTGACCCGGTCCGTGCTCACCTGGAAGAGGCGGACCTCCAGCCCGGTGTACCACCCGTTCAGACCCAGTAAGACCCGGATAATATGTGTGTCTGTCCCGAGTCTGTGTGTCTTTATCCCCTCTAGTCTGTCTGTCTGTCCGTCGGCCTTGAACACATCCTGTGTGATAAACAAAGGGCAGAGAGGACACAGACGGGACATGTTGGACTTTTAGAGACAGTGTTTGAACCTTAGTTAACTTTTATCGTAACATAATGAGGTCTGGGCTGTGGCAATAAATGAGACATGAGGTGTCCGGTTACCTAAACGCACCATATCCAGTCTGACACAATCTGTGGAGGTCACTCTGAGGCTGCAGGCAGGGGCAGGAACAACAAACCAAACCTCAGGGAGAAGTCTGAGAAAGCCTTGAATCCAGTTCCCTATTTAAAGAAGATATATTTAATGTTATTTAAAGGTGTTAAATTTAATTTACAATCCCAGATATGAGGCTTCCTTTGTTTTAATTCTCACCTTTTTCTCTGAGAACATTCATGATTTGAAGGAGTTACTGATTTTCATGGTTTATCCTGTTACTGTGGAGAAGTCAGTGGTGGAAAATAACGACATTTACTTCAGTATTTTACTCTGAAGGGATATAATCATTGTTTTTATATTAATCAGGAAACAAATGAGGACCTGTGTGTGAAACTGTGCAGCTCTGTGGAGGTTTCTGGCTGACAGCGCTCTCACAACCTCATTTCCAGCAGCTGTTCTCAGTGAAAACAAAGCTCTGGTAAACCCCCTGTCCACGGCCTGACAGAGTTACAGACTTCCTGGTGAAGAAAATGGAAAGTTTAGCAGCTAAAATGCACAATGTTTTTCTCTGGAGTCACCACAACAGAGCTAAAATGAGAGTCAGTATTGGACTTTATCACACAAACATGACTCCAGTGGGATGACGATATCTGCTGTTCTCTATATGTACTGTTAAAAGCTGATTATATGGCAGTGTGTTTTTATTTTTTTATATTTTCTTTTAAACTTTATCTTACAAGGCAAGACATAAAGAACAAATTCTTGGTTATATTGACGGCCCGGCAGGTGTCAGAAAACAAGTAAACAAAGAAGAATGACTAATTAATCAAATCAAACAGATACTTTTACTTTTAAGTAAATGTTAATTATCGTTAAAAAATCTAAAATAAGAGAGAAAAATGTTTCTGTTGCGTTCACGGCTTGTTTCTGCTGCCCCCAAGTGGCCAAAAAAATCAGCTAATGAAGGTGTAAGAACGAGTTTGAGGTATTTTACTGGCAGTAGTTTTATTACATTTGCACGTTTTTACTCCACTACTATCAAACACTTAAATGTCTTGTGGTACAGGAAATACACCGCTCCACCAGTATATTAGATACGAGTCAAAGACAACACAGGGAAATTAGATTTTCTCTGCAGATCAAATATAGCTACCTGTACAAACACAGAGCTGAGCAACAGGTGTGTGCTGATACACATTATCACCTGTGTTAACCTAGATAGAAAGTGTGAAATAGTGTATTATATTTAATTGTAGTAATGGTCGCCACACGATTTGTTCCCAGAAATGAAATGAAATGGTCCATCCATCTCCAGGTGTGTCCTCAGTCAGACAGGTGAGCGCTGAGCAGTGGCAGGAGAACTGACAATTTGAATATTCAAAGCAGCAGAGCAAGAAGGTTTGAGATCAGACTGAGGCAGCTTCACTGTGACCCGCAGCTCGTCCCAAACTGATCCAGAGTCAGACATCGACCTTATTTTACACGGGTTCCATCAAAGATTTACACTCTGTTGAAACGACGGAATTCGAAGCCCTGTGATTGGAAGTTTCTTACTGAAATGCACCTTGGGAGTCGTGGCTAACTTCTGTCTTTCCCTTTCACATGCTCAGAGGCTCTGACCTTTGACCTTGTCTTTTTCACTGATGACTCAGCAGGGACAGTTTTTTTTTTACCCAGCGTTGTTTTGAGGACACGAACCAGACTGTCTCATCTGATTCAGTGTTCCAGCTGATCACAGTCCAGCTGTTCGTCATCCGCTTAGCTTTGTGATTCCGTTGCCACGGCGACGACAGACATCACAGTACCTGCCGGGTGTGTAAAACCTGAAACGGACAGCAGTGTGTGTTTGTTGTGACTGTGTTTCAGACATGAATCTTTAATATCTGACCTGCTGCTGCTGTAGAAGTACACAGTAACAGTACTCCCATTATTTAATTAAGTAAAACTAGCAAAACAAGTCAAAGTACATAAGTATTAGCAGCGAAATGTATTATGTATTAGAAGTACTTGTTGTGCAAAATAATTAATAATAACAATATTTATAGAGCACCTTTCAAAAACTGCAAAGAAAAAAAACAGAATCAATAAAATCAATACATTTCAAAGCAAAGAGAACAGAGAACTGATACATAAGCACATGGTATAATTAAATATTCTATATTGATGCATTTGTGTGTAAACAGCATTTGACTGTTGGAGCTGCTCGAGGTGGAGCCAGTGTTTACCACTTCATTTACAGTTGATTACTTTAGTCCGGTGGTTCCCAACGTTGGGCTCGGGCCCCTCCAACGGGTCACAAGATAAATCTGAGGGGTCCTGAGATGATTAATGGGAAAATACAAAGTTCTACTTCACAAATTTGGTTTTGGACTTTTGTTGTGAAAATCTTTTTTGGGCCTAACACCTTATGAAACAATGACAAGAGGCCACACTTACTGTTTTTTTTTTTTCAATAATGGTTCATAAGTTTGGAACCATTGGTTTAATCTTTTATAAATTATCAAATGTTTTCATGCAAAATCTTAATCTGAAAAGTGGAGTAAAAAGAACAACATTTCCCTCTGAAATGTTGTGGATTGGAAGTTTATAATGGCAGAAAATGGACGTGTAAAAGTACATGTATCTCAAAATTTTGCAATATTACAAATTAGAGTAAATGTATTTTGTTATTTTCCACCATAGACAGTGAAAAGATATATAGTATATAAGCCCTAATTAAACCTTTAACTTAACTTAACCTTCAACTGCAACCTGATGGTCTGGGGGCTTCACACAGGGGAGGGTTGTTATAAAACAGTGACGGTTCACCACAGCTGACTCTGAGAGGTTTCCCCACCTGTTCTAACAGTCTCTTGGTTGCCTGGTAACCGTGTGGTTCTCCCCCTCAGGGTTTTGTGTTCCTTCGTTCCCCCGTCGACCTCACTCAGGTAGGAGACGTTTCCCCAGGCTGCGGTGCAGTGGGTCGCCTGCAGGTTTAGTGATTGTGGTGCTGTTGTTAGAACATGTTTCTGTGTTTTGCTGAACTATGAACTCTGGTTGAGAGCTGCCAGCGGCACCGTCTCCTGTATATAGACATTAACGTTTCTATACAACTAAACTGCCACAGCGAAGAGGTTAGGTGGGAAACGTAATCTGAATCAGAGGCAACTTTTATTTATGAATGAAGCTCTACGTTTATTATCAGTGGGGGTAGGAGGTGGTAACGAGGCAGTTCTTTGCAGCAGAGCCTTGTAAATAAAACAACATACAGATATGTGTCCTGATTACGTTAATAGAAAACATAATCCAGTCACAAGTACGTTTCCTACAAAACACATTTTCTGTTACAGTTTGGATTTATAGAAACCTGAGTTTTAGGAGACAGTGTTGACTTCCAGACTTAACCAACAGTTTTGTTCCAAAATATGAAAATTGTGTCGGTCAGCACTCTTAAAAACTGGATGTTAAAACTAAAAAGAAGAAACTGGCGTGACTTCTAGATGACTGTCAAACCAACTATCAATACTTTCAGTTCCACAAGTTCGTCTTGATCTGAAGATTCTGAAAAATCACATTTTGGAATAAAACTCAGTTTTAGTTTTTGTTTTCCTCCTCGCTGCCCCCGGTTCAGGGTTTGCTCTGTAGTTTGGCCGAATAGTTTTAGTAACTGCTCAACTAGTTTGTAGATTAATGTGCTGCTGCTGCTTTCAGTGAAATCCTGTTGGATCAAACGTTCTTTTAAAGGAACAGTTGAACATTTTAAACTCCTATTTCGACCTGCAGACAGCAGGGAGAAGGAGAAACCATTTGTGCTTAAAAAAAAGACTGACACAAATAATCAATTATCAAAATAGTTTAATAGTCATTTAATTTCTTGTTGAGTTATTGACTAATGGATTAATAATGTTCTTAAAATTGTGAGCTGAATATCTTTGACAGTCGGACCGTTGATCATTTATCATTGTTTTCTAATGATATACAGACTAAACAATTATTGAGTGGAGAAAATAATTAGCAGATTAATCAATATGAAAATAATCGTCACTTGCAACATGAATGGAGTTCATGATTTTTGCATTAAATACAACAAAAGAAAAAAAAAATGTTACACTGGTCCTCGCCCCAAATCACAGGAAAAGTTACTGCTCAGGTTTGAACATTTAAAGACGCCATTTTGTTGTGTGAGAGATAAAAATCTTCTCTGCTGACACATGAAAAACTGCAGGTTTGTAGTCCACTGTGGTTTTAAATGTGATACTGAGGCAGTCTTTATGAAGAAAAATTACAGAATGTTTTCTTCTTGTTGCTAATTTTAAGTAACTTAACAAGTCAATGTAAAGTCACCACTTAAAAACTAATAGTTATATTTACTTAGTTTTTTCAAGGCAGTAAGTAAGTAAGATCAACTAGTCACATTTTACATATAATGACATGAAATTGTGTTTCTCTGGGCTTTTGTGAGAAAAGTTGTGAGTTTAAACTTTAAAGAATTTAAATTTAAATGACGCCATACAAATAATAGCAATATATACAAAGAAGGGGAATCAACAAAATCAGGGATATCTTTGCAGAGGCCCTCAAGAAGATGTGATGTAAAAAAATAATAAAGAATAAAATAAACAAGAAGATGGTGCACAGGGTTGAGGTGGAGCAGGAAGTTGAAGCTATGGGTTGTGCAAAAGATACGTACATGCATTGGGACTTTTAACTACATGTATCACTCCGCTTAACCGTTAATTAGCGTTACACTAACGGTCGTTATCTGTCTTAGATTGTAACAAACTTTGCAAAGATGAAAATATTTCCAAAAATAACATTTGAATTAAATGACGTCTGGATACCTCAGCGCACACCTGAGATAACATGCTAGTGTCCACTGCGCAGGTCAGAGAAATGTTTATGTGTTGCTTAGCAACAGCCCAGTACCAGTCCAGTTGCGGAACTATTTGTCTTGACGAAGCCAAATAAATGATAAAATAAACAAACAAATCATAATATGTTGTTGTTTATTTAACTTCATTGTTTTCTTTTTAACTGTCTGTTGTTTTTATTATTTTTATTGTGTTTTTAATCTTCTGTAAAGTGTCCTCGAGTGCTGTGAAAGACGCTGCCAAATAAAATGTATTATTATTATTATTATTATTATTATTATTAACTAAAATGGCGCTCGCAGAACTGTTGTGTGAAAGCAAAATAACACGTGTGTCTGTGGCGTCTGCTTAAATGTGCAGCATGTGAATGAAGATCTCAGTTTCCCTCAACAGACACAAGAATCGTTTTAAAGTTTAAGAAACATATTTATATTCTAAGCGTCCAGACTATGATGTTTATAAGACTGGACAGTTTTAATTTCAGCACGGTTCAGTGTAGCCTACATATGGCAGGAAAAGCCTGTGTCGGAGTGATACCACTGGAGATGGAGCGTGTCAGTAGCTCAGACTCCTCGGTGACTGATGTCGTCACAGCGTCGCAGCGTCTCAGTTCGAGTTTCCTCGTCACGTCTCGTGCCTCTCAGTTCGGTCTCCGGTGGTTTGTCTCCGTGGAAACAGCAGCAGGATTTCACTCCAGAAAGTTGATCCATGTGTCGGTTTCCCTCCCACAGCCTCGGGGTCAACATTATATAACAAGTTCATGCAAACATCTGTGAACATACGGCACAGATGTGAGTCATCTGTTATTAACACCTTTATTGACACTACAGATTATGAGGAGACGTCTTTTTGTTTTTTCATGTAGCATGTAAGTGATTTTATTTTGGTCACAGTTGACCCTCAAACCTGAAACTTAAAGTGGCAGTTTACCTGTTGTCTGATGGTGCATTCATGTGCTGGAGAGAGGAATCTGAAACCTGATGTGCAAGAGGCGGCTGTTTGATTATAAAGCTAACAAACTCTGTGTGTGTGTGTGTGTGTGTGTGTGTGTGTGTGTGTGTGTGTGTGTGTGTGTGTGTGTGTGTGTGTGTGTGTGTGTGTGTGTGTTCTTCAGGTGTGCATCACAGTGTGTCGGTGTCAGAGATCATCTCTGTCAGAGAGGAAGACGAGGAGAACATCAGCAGACGAAGAGACGATGGCAGCTGGAAAAAGATCAAAGAGAGTGAAGGAAAGGACTGCAGACAGGCCTTCACAGGTAAACACACCTGAGAATACAGTAAATACACCTGGAAACACACTGAATGAGGTAACATGAGAAAATATAAATGTGCACTTCCTGTAGTCCTTCACAGTAAAAGCATTCCATTGACTCACAAATTAAATGTTTTTATTATTAAAAAATAATACGATCTGAAATTTGTGACATCATGAATCATTGATAATTGTGTGTGTGTGTGTGTGTGTGTGTGTGTGTGTGTGTGTGTGTGTGTGTGTGTCAGTGTTGTACGTGGAGAGGTGTCGGCAGCACCGCTGGCGGTGTGCTGAGGTCACCTTCACGTGTCCAGAGGGGGCGCTGCGTCAACACTGGGTCAGCAGCATCAGAGAGCAACTCGCCGCTGTCGGTATGACATCACCCCAACACACACTGACACTAACACACACTGACTGACGGTGCGTTCACACACATGCTGATATTCATTGTAAATAACAACAGCTGTCCAGTTGCAGCAGAGGATATAAATTACAAACTCAACACTCATGAGACCAGACCAACCACTTTGTATCTGTACATGTGAACGCACCGTAATGCACTTAATTGTTTCCAGAAACTGTCAGTAATGTTGTTGTTGTTGTTGTTTACAGCCAATAGACCCAAACACCTGCTGATCTACATCAACCCGTACGGCGGGAAGCGACAGGGCAAACGCATCTACGAGCAGAAGGTCGCCCCGCTGTTCGCTGCGGCCGGCGTCTCCACGGACGTCATCGGTACGTCCTCCATTACATATATGACTTCCTGCGTCAGGGGTTATACATCTAAACATGTTGTAATTCTGTGTTTGTTGTTGTAGTGACGGAGTACGCCAATCATGCGAGGGATCACCTGAGGACGGAGGCGGAGCTGAAGAAGTATGACGGGTGAGTTTCGTAAATATTAATTCAGGTTTCTCATGCATCCTGGAAAAACCTGGAAAAACCTTTTAAATAAGTTTTCCTGGAAAATAATGTAAAGAATCTTATCAGGTCTCTGCAGCAGCTAAAATTAGAGCCACGTTCAGGAACCAGATGAGGTTATAATCTTCACCATAAAACCTTTATTTATATCAGATGACAAAGTGCTTTACATAAGATATAAATATACAGATTTGCATTTACAGTGATGATTAGTTTTGCTTCACTTGCGTAAGCTCCTGCTAACGTTTCAAGTTTGACCTCTGACCCCGGTTCAGCGTGGTGTGCGTCGGAGGGGACGGCATGTTCAGCGAGATCATCCACGGGCTGATCTGGAGGACGCAGATCGACGGCGGCGTGGATCCAAACTGTCCGGATGAAACGCTGCTGACCTGCTCGCTTCGCATCGGAATCATTCCTGCAGGTCAGAAACACAGATATCACTCCTGCTGGTTCCTCCACACTTCAGTGTACCAACAACGTGCAGAGGCCGCAGACGCCTTGAGCAGGTTGTAGAGGTCCTTGAGGATGTTGAAGAGGTCGTAGCGGGGGTGTAAAGGATCTTTGAGGGTCCTTGAAGAGGTTGCAGAGGTCACTGAGGAGGCTCCTGGGATCCTTGAGTGAAGTACGGTAGCCTGTAGCATCATATGTGTTGCTGTGGTTACCCACAGTTTAACCCTCTGGAGTCCAGGTTACTTTTGGGTTAATTTTTGACGACTTTCGACGCAATGATATTTGTCTTACCCAGCATGCACGGTAATTATTTTTCAGCATAAATTCATCTTTAAGTCCTGAGTATAAAATTCCCAGGAAGCTGGAAAATACAAGAAAGATGTAACAAGACGCCCGTAAAGATTTGATCTTTAGTAGATCTTTAGAAATAATCAGTTCAAGGTTGTAAAAAAAAATTATACACACAAATACAGCAGAAAAATGTGTTTTTATCATTGAAAGTTGATGTATTCTGATGTAAATGATTGAAAATATAAATAATTCAGTTTTTAAAAACATATAAATACTTCTAGTAATAAAACATGCTCCATGTATTCACGGATGAAGACACCACAGACGTTTGAAACACACTTGATTCTCTGTTCACCTGATTTAAATGCAGATACTGACTGTGGCCTCATTCCTCAGTTTGTTTGCGTCCTTCCTGTTTTCTGTTGTTCTGCCTAAAGCGTTCTATAAATACACACAGTCGTGAGGGAGACATTAATTCTCTCTGCAGCAGCAGAGGAGAAAGCAGCTCACCTGGTTAATTAATGGCTGCTGTGATTGTTGCAGGTGTGAGTGAGTGTTGTTGTAATGAGAAAGTGGTTGTCAGTGAGAACATCCAGGGCGCTGTTCTTCAAATGCGGTTCAACAGATTCTGTTATCAGGCTAAAATAATCTCGTCAAATCTTCTCCAGCTAATCTGGTTCTTTGAAAGCAGCTTGAGGATTGATTTGCTGATCCTGAATGAATGGAAAAGTGATTAGAAAGTTGAAACTGATCAGCATTCAGATGATTCATGCACATAATTCTCCATTTTAACTCCTATCGTTTCCTCTGACGGCCAATCGGTTTGTTTGTTTCAGGTTCAACAGACTGTATCTGCTTCGCCACTGTGGGCACCAACGACCCCGTGACCTCTGCGCTGCACATCATAGTGGGTCAGTCACATTCAGCACAGGTTATTTAACATGTTATACGTGGGCAAACGTGTGAATAAAGCCTCAAATGATCAGAATTCAGAGGATGATTTTTGTCCTGCAGGGGATGAAATTTAACAGCATATTATGAACACCTGTTGTTATACCTGCACTCCATGTTGGTGTGTTGATGCGTGTGTTCAGGAGACTCTCAGCCGATGGACGTGTGCTCGGTTCACCACAACAACGCCTTCCTGCGATACTCCGTCTCCCTACTGGGATACGGTTTCTACGGCGACGTGCTAACTGACAGTGAGAGGAAGCGATGGATGGGACCGGCCAGATACGACCTCTCAGGTTAGAGATGTGACATATGTGAAGTGTTGAGAGCATGACGGGTTTGAGGGGAAACCTGTGATATTAGTTAAAGCATTAAAAAAAAACAACAAGCATGTGAGATTACAGACACGTTTCAGGACAGTGAGGTAGCTGCTATACCTGGATGAACAGACTGTGTACTGAGGATCCCATGCATTAAGGTGTGAGCTGGTTTCATCCTGCAGGTCTGAAAATGTTCCTGACTCATCACTATTACGAAGGAACGGTGTCCTACCTGCCGGCCAGGGGCATCATAGGAACGCCGCGAGACGCCGCCAGGTGTCGATCAGGGTGAGAGAGATTTAAGTGACTTAAGTGTTTTAAAAATAAAAATAAACATCCTCTGACAATTAATATGTTTGATCTGTACTTTGCCAGCTCATGACTGAAGTCAGTTCAGGTTAGCTAACACTGGTTTGCTCCAGTTAGGTAACTGAGTTTAGTTACCACGAAATTCTGTTCAGGTTAAGTATCCGTTTAGTTTAGCAGCAAAGCAGTTGGGTTCAAGTTAGCTCGGTTTCAGTTTAGCTGCTAAAACTTTTAGGTTTGCTAGCAGTTCCGTTTAGCAGCTAAAATAGTTCAGTTACAATATGCTAACGCTTCAGTTTAGCAGTTAAAATAGGTTGGTTTCGATCGGCTAACGCTTCAGTTTAGCAGCTAATGGTTCAGTTTAGCAACTGCAGCTATTTAGCTCAGGCTATTTAGTCTTCCAGTTTAGAAGCTAAAATTGCTAACAGTTCAGTTTAGCCGCAAAAACCTGTTTGGTCCCCGTTAGCTAATGTTTTAGTTTAGCAGCTAAAACTGTCTGGTTCTGGTAATTTAACAGTTTAATTGAGAAACACAAACACTTCAGTTCAGGTTAGCTACTTGATCCGTATAGCAGCTAAAATAGTTCTGTTAAAGTTTGCTAACAGTTTAGTTTAGCAGTTTGAGTTCAGATGAGGATTTGACTCAGGTGTGCAACGGCTGCATTTAGCAGCTATAACAGTTTGGTTTTCGATACCTTATCTGACTGTTGTTTTTGTTTGTTTTGGTTTTTTTTTGGGTGTGTCCGTAACTCTCTCCAGCTGTGCGGTTTGTCAGCACAACGGGCAGCTGCTAACCGAGAGATCTGAGAAGTACGAGATGGATGAAACATCAGACAGTGGTGAGTTCAACAGATCCCTCAACTCCACTGTCTTTGAGTTGGTGATAAATACTGGAAGCAGAGAGAAACTGCTGCATCGCATCTTGTTGCAATTCAAAATATATTTATACTGTATTTGGAAACAATTTCCAGGGAAATCATTATTATTTAGTTTGTTGTGTGATCAAATAAAGATGGATTTCTTGTCTCTCGTTGCTCACCTACTGAATGTATTTATCGTTGTACAGCTGACGGGGCAAATCTTTGTTTTTGTGGGGGGGGTTTGTTCCAGAGAGTGACGGCGAGTGGAGGACGATCCGAGGGAAGTTCCTGGCTATAAACGCTGCCAGTATGAGTTGTGCTTGTCCTCGCAGTCCCAAAGGCCTCTCACCTGCCGCTCACCTGGCCGACGGCACCACCGACCTCATCCTGGTCCGGAAATGTTCCCGCTTCGATTTCCTCAGACACCTCCTCCGACACACCAGCAAAGACGACCAGGTACGACTCAGAGCACGACAATCAATCAGTCAGGGCGGCAACATATTATTATTTTTGATTATTGATAATCTATCAGTTATTTTTTTCAACTAATCAGTTACTGGTTTTGTCCATAAATTGTCAGAATGTAATCAAACATGCCTGTTATAAATTACCAGGTGTCCAAGGTGACTTTTAATTTCTCGTTTTATCAGATAACAGTTGAAACCCAAAGATATTCTCATTGATTGATGCTTGATTTCTGCTTGAACAGCGATTAAAATAATTAATCAACTATGAAAACACTAATTAATTAATCAACTAATCACTGCAGCTGTAAAGTCAGGATTCTAGTTTATGGTCTCTCCACATAATGGAGTTATGTTTCTTTGATTTGATCCAAATCCCAACACCTGGTATAGTCTCACCTGTTTCCTCAGGACCTCCCTCACTGTCTCCTTCCCTCCTTTCACACACAGTTCGACCTGACCTTTGTTGAGGTCCACCGGGTGCGGCGTTTCCGCTTCACGCCGCGTCACTGCCAGAGCGACTCTGACCTGGAGCTGGACCTGCTGGGGAACGCGAGCAAACGCCAGATCTTCAGCCAGATCTGCCGAGACCACCCGGCTTGTGGCTGCGCCCCCGCCTACAGCTGCTGGAACTGCGACGGCGAGATCCTGACCCACACCGCCATCGATGTCAGGTACCGCGACCCTCCGGGATTGTCGTATTTTGCCATTTTCAAATATTTGAACCCACTTTAGATCTTTCTCTTACAAAAACACCCTCTTCTCTGTTTCCCTCCAGAGTGCACTGCCAGCTGATCAAGCTGTTTGCGCGAGGGATCGAAGAACCGGCGGTGTTCGAGGATCTCGCCAACCCCTGTGCAATATAGACCCGCGTCCCCATTATTCCCTGTCCGACACTGGAGTCGTCTCTCTGTTTCCAGCCGCTGCCTACGACACTCCTGCCGTCATCACGCAGCCGCTCATCACATCCTTCACCGGGACACTCGACATCGTTTTACTTCCTGGGTTTAAAAGTACAAAATGAGTTTCCTTAAATCACCATGAGCAGCTTTAAATGTATTTAAGAAACAATCACAAATCTATAGACACGTAAAGATTCATCCTCAGATTCTGGATTTGTTGAGAGTGACGCTGGGGGTGTTTTGGTGTGAACAGCTGAATGGTCGCTCGGTGTCTGGCACCTGATTTGTTTTAATATCGAAGTCCAGTCCTGAAACTGAGACCTGCTCTCAATGACAGTGATTTTTTTCTCCGTATGACTTGATGATCTTGACGTAACAAATGTCGCATGTAGCAGTGATGTAACGTGTGGGGGGGGAAAAGGTCAAAGCAACATGGACTCATTGCATGGCTGTGTTGGTGTTTTGACTAGAACTCATATTGTGGCAGTTTGGACTCTGATCTGTCCTGACTCAGACTTGTCTCGGCCTGGTGGGTGTCTGGACTCGGACTTCTGAGTCTGAGTGTTGTGGGGTTTTTAATTCGGGCTTGTAATGAGACAGACTTGTTTTGGTCTCATACGTGTCTGGACTCTTGAGTCTTGTGGGTGTTTTTCGACCTGGATTTGTTCTGACTCGGACTCGTCTGGATCTTGTGAATGTTGACGCTGAGACTTGTAACGAGTCTCACGTGTGTCCTGACTCAGTCCGGTCGTGGTGTAACGGGTGTTTTGACTTGTTTCTGTCTCGGCCACAAGTCTGACCTGTTACAGTCTTCTGTCTTGACCAGGCTGCTGTCAGTCAGATGTAAAGTGGTCTCAACTGCATTTATTCAGCATATATGTAGATTAGAAACTACTACATAAATCTTAGCTTGTTGCACTTTTTAAATAGTTTTAATTATTTTAAATATTAAAAAAAAAATTGAATTATCTGTTACATGTTTAGAGGATGCCAGACACCCTTCAGTCATTCCCAGGGTCAGTCATGTGATCACAAGGGGTTCATGAAGTGTAGAAGGTAAATCTCATGCACATGGTCAGTACTTGGAAAGGAAACTTAATGCTGACAGGTGATTTATTTTCAACTGCTGAATTTTCCTGTAACAGTCACCGTCTATGTTCTTCAGCTGTCTGAGTGTTTCTGTTTCGTTCTGCTTCTCAAACACATCCATTAGTGCTGACTCCGTGTTTTCATCGTTCCTCAGGAAGACCTGAGCTTCAATCGTAGCTATGAATTTGTATTTTTACTTGTACTAATTCCCAGCAATTTAGAAGGAAAAAAAAAAATATGAAAAATCTCAAATTTTAATTTTAGTCAAGAAAAAGTCGTGTCAGTCAAGCTGGTCGTGGCTGAATAAGCCGAACAGCACACACATGAATGTTTTTAATCCTCCATTTCTCCTCGATATGCAATTGAACTCAGTCGGCGCAAAGGAAATCGTCTTAAGAGTGACTGCTTTAACACTTAAACTGTGCAGATATTCTGTCTTCAAAATGAGCTGTAGCTTCAGTTTACTCTCAGTGTAATGTGATGATCCGTCCAGTTAATTTAGTCTCATAAAACCTCGAGATAATCATCTGAACCTTCCACAAATCAAGGATAACAATTCAACAGGCACTAACATGTTTCAGCAAACAAATGGCTTCAGAACTTTATTTTTTTTTCTACCTTTTCAAAGTTCAAATATATGTATTTGGATGGTTGTTACATACCTCACAACGAGATACACTACATGGCCAAAAGTATGTGGACAGCGAGGCAAGGCAAGTTTATTTACATAGCGCCATTCAGAGGCAATTCAAAGTGCTTTACATTGAAATAGAGCGTTAATAAAGCATTTAAAAACAAATTTGAATAAACAAAAATATTTGAAGATGTCACGCCATTTTAAAAGAAGTGCTGCAGTGATAAATACATTAAAAACAAGAAAATGCACATGTTAGGGATTTATTGGTAAACTGCAACAAATAGTAATATTTTAAGCCCTGATTCAAACTGTTTCAGCACATCTCAGGTGTTCGGGAAGATTGTTCCACAGGTGAAATATTTCACATTGTATAAGTAGATCAGAAATGTGTTTAGACCCAAGACCATTTAGTGTAGTAGGATTTTAAAATCTATCCTTTGACACAAAAGCTTAGAATCAGCTGCCATAGCAACCTCCACTCCTCTGGTGTCACGTCCCCTTCAGCCACAAAACGCATCAGTGAGATCCAACCACAAAAACAAGGGAACAAACACTGTTGAAACTAAAGTTAGAAAAACACTTTTGTCTAGAATATAATTGTGTGCTGTAGCATTAAGATTTCCATTCACTAATAATAAGGCCCACAAGCCAGGATAAATAAATACGCACAGACCAAAAGAACACTAAAGCAGCGGTTGCCAAGCTTGAGGTCTTGTTGGATAAGTTTATGTTGCAATAATTCTAACAGAATAATCTGCTCAGTCAATAGAAATATTCATCCTGTATGAAGGGTCACAAGTTGACAAAGCCAAAAAGGTTTGGAACCACTGTAATTAACAATATGAACACAGCTGTCCACATACTTTTGGCCACATAGTTCACATTTATTTTCTGCTTGTTGCTTGTTAGAAATTAAGATTGTTTCACTTATATAGATGTAAAAAGAAAAAAATAGAGTTATGAATTTTATTATATTAGTGGAAGGTTCATGTTATTGATTTTAGGAAGTTCTCTGTAAAGTCCAGTGTTGATATTCACTGTAGTCTTTCTCATGTTTTAAACGCTAGTTTTTAAATGTTCTGACTGGAAACCTCGGCCTGTTGTAGTCTGATGTCAACTCACTGTGCTGCCGCTGCTCATTGTGTCCACAGCGTTCATTTTATATTTTTAGAAAATACAATCTACAGACAGCAGCTTTAAATTGATGGTATTCTACTTTTAGATTCATGTTCTCCTAGTTTTTCCATTTTCTTTACTCAATCATATTCACAGTGAAGTTACATTTTCTTCAGGATATCATTTGCAAACATTGCAGCTTCCAGGAGACACGATGGTTTCCATATTCTGGACCCAGAGACAAATCAGACAGGAAATAGACTATCAGCACTGGACTGTCAGGCTGTAGATGCTGTTTGTTTGTTTGTTTTCTTTCTTTGTTTGTTTGTTGACCAGCAGTTCTGTTTCCTCCCTGCTGACGTCGAGCTGGACTCAAACTGACGGAGGAGGGAACCAGTAGCAGCTCACGGTGCTCCAAACCACCGATCAATCACCTTTCAGCTTTCTCCTGATTTTAATCTGACCAAATACCAGCCGGGGTTTCACGATGTAGCTGTTTATCTGTGATGTTGTAGCTCAGTCTGCAGGTCTTCACGGGTCCAAAACGTTGGACCCACTCTAAGCAGACCCATGGAAAACATACACTAAATTTTAAGGAAAAACAGATCTGATCCAAAAGGAACTTGAGGACAGACAGAACCGGTCTGAAATAGACCTGAAGATATTTAGACCGGATTCAAAATGTGGTGGATCTGACCAGAAGGAAACAGAGTGAACACCAGCAGTGGCAGCAGCGCGATCCTCCGCTAACAGGAATACAACAATAATACAGCAGGACTCTCACAAACCTGATTAGCCTCAGGTCTTAGAGCCTTGGTTAGAGGTTACCGAGTGGATCTGTGAAGACCTTTAGCTCAGCTTTCTGTCTCATGTTGATTTATGTCTTAATATTGTGTATGGATGCACAATCAGAGTCTGGATGTTTGCTGTAAACACCCAAACAACAAACCAAATGTGTGTACACAGAGGTCGACTGATGGCAGATGACTGAAGTGGATTTTTAATTAGGAGAGGATATAAAATTATTTACATGTAGCCTGGCTGAAATCATTAATTAAACATCTTTGTGCTTTAGTACTATCATAGATTTACTCTCCAATTTAGCATCAAACCAGACACTGGTAAATTAATTTGCATGTTTTTTGTGAAATAGTCGGTGCTGTAAGCTTGGAGAAGTAGTAAATACTTGGCTAGCTACTGTAGCTGGTGAGCTAACGCTAACATGCGCTTTAGCCGGGAACGTGCTGGGCCTGGTCAGCTGTAATAGTCCATCTAGCTAGCTGCTAACAGGTAGTAGCCAAACTATTTTAATTGTCTACTAGCTAAAATTCATCTTTGCATCTTAATGAAAAAGGCAGTACCAGATGCTAAGTGATGAAACTACGTTTCACAAGGCTAGTCAGTGAACTGCTGTATGTGGCTAGCTTACAGCTAACTCCCTGTTAGCATCTTTGCCTCAGGATTGTAAATTATTTAATTCAATAAAACATTTTCAAAAAGAGGAGGAAAACATTTTTAAGTTAGCAAGCTAGTTAGCTATGTTGTTAACAGAACAATAAATTCACAGTTTATTCGACATATTTGTCTTATAACAACAGAGGACGTTAAATAGTAAGCTCACAAAGTTGATTTAATTGTCCCTCATTGACATTATTTACCAACAGCTACTGTCCTGGGTAGTAGAAAAGTTAAAGAACTACAAAAGCATCAAAATCCCAGAGACAAAAATGGTGGTTTTCATGTTTCTGCTGACGCACTTTCACCCCAGTTAGCAGCTAGCACGCTGGGTGTATTGCTAACTAGACAATAACTTAACACAGCCAATGAAGGGAACCTATACATTAGTGTCATGGCCTGCAGAATGTTAAGACAGTTTGAACGCAGTCTATGCAAAGGTTTCTTATAAATTCAGTTCACTAGTGAATCGATTGTAGAGAAAACATCAAAATGTAATGATTTAATAATGAAATCTTGATGATAAATGCTGACGTGACTGGGACCTTTTTTAAGAGAGTTAAATATATGAAAACATAGATTATGGATTTACAGATGTCACCGAATCATGAGAACGTCTCTAGTGTTGTTTGTTGTCTTGCTAACAACATGTTATTTTTAGTACTGATTAATCTTAAATTTATTTTTTCTGATTGTCTGATCAAGAGAACTCAAACGTCGTCTTTCGTCCTCAGAGTCCAAAGTGTTTCTTTAACCTCTTTCTTGACTTTTTGCTGAGGAAATGAATACGTGAATGAATGAATGTAGCATTAGTTACTCCCAATTTAAAGCCTCTCCTGTAAACATGCAACATTTTTATTTTCAACACTGTAGTTTAACCTGACACTGAAAATTGCTTTTGATTTAATCAGTCGACCTCTAGCTGTATTCTGAGCTGTAACTGATCTTTACCTTCTGCTGTAGCTGTTTCATTATCAGGAATTAAAAACATATTCAACCCTTCTTCCGTGTTACACAATAATAATTTCATTGTTGATGTCAGACAATAACTGGTGAAAGGATGACTCTGTAATTGTAAGCGCTGATGCTAATAAGCTAATGGGGCGACAGTACTTAGCTCGCTAGAAATTTCAATTCCCTTTACATTTTGCACCAGTGCACCACTGAAGTAAAATATCAACTTTGACGGGTCAAATTCTAAGACTGTTTTAGTTTATATTTAGTTCATTTGCTGTAAAGTTCCAAGTATTTCCAAGTAATTAACACACAAAACCTCAGGCAAGGTAGAATTATTCCATCACAGAAATGCTGTCTGGCTGCAACCAACAATTATTTACTTATCAATACATCTGTCAATTCCTTTCTTGGAATAACTGATTGATTTTTCAGTCAATAAAAAATGGAAGGAAAGGAGATTCCTGTAAAAAAAAAAAAAAAAAAAAAAAAGAGCCTATAGGTCGTTTTTGCAGCAGGTTATGACCCATAATTACGTTTTGTTGCTAGGCGACATTTTTCTATTTCCGTTTTCTATTATCCATGAGCATCAAACAAAGTTAACCACGTTGTTATTATTGTAACCATGACAACAAGGTCACATAATGTTGAGGAAGTACTTATTTTAACCCAAATCACAATCTGTTCCTAAACCTAACCAAGCCATCGTAACCATGGCTACAATCGGCACGCCGTTCTCGGTACAGTCAGCCGAGGTTCCTATGGGTCGTATCATAGAAAAAAACGACCTGTATGGTTGTTTAGGTTGGAGGACTTGTTTTGTTTGTTTGTTTTGTTTGTTTGTTTGTTTGTTTGTTTGTTTTGTTTGTTTGTTTTGTTTGTTTGTTTGTTTGTTTGTTTGTTTTGTTTAGGGTTTTGTTTTGTTTTTTACCATTTTTTGCATTTTTAGTTTAAAAAAATGCTTAAATTATAAATTGATTTTCAAAATTGTTCCCTAAAGGCCCAACAAGATTTAATTGGGTTATAATTCAGACTGATTTAGATTTAGTTAGTCTTGTGTCACTTACCCTCTGGCACTATAATTAAATCCAAACCAGAAAGTCCTGAAATAAAACCTCACCCACACAGCTTCAGGTAAGAGGAGCAACAGTATTTAATAAATGAAACTGAAAGTTAGACATAGCACTAGCAGAGCAGCAGATGAGTCTGACTGATTCTCTCTGAAGAAAAACTGAACCTGAGGTTTCTCAACTTTTCTCTCATCGACACAGTCTCTGCCAAATACTGGTGAGTCCAGCTAAGTTAAGGCTCTTTGGCCCTTTTTATTACATTTACTTCCAGATTGAAGCAGTGTCAATGTTGAATGAGGAAATGTGTGGAAAAAGGTGCATGGCACATATTTGAAAAAGCACACAGATACACACCCAAAACTTTCATAAGATAGTGTAGGAATTATAATATTGTTTATTTGAATATTAAGGTCATGGTTCTTATTTGTCACATTTTTTGCCGTCTTTGACCTAAAGATTGTGAAAACAGATAAGCCAAACACTGCTGACTGAAAAGATGAAGCATAGAAATATACATGTCATTATGTAAAGTAAAAATGTGATTATATAGGGAAAAAAGAGAATACAAGAGGGCTTTTTTGTATAAAAAGAATACAAAACTTGAGGGTTTGTTTACAGGTGATATAGCCTAACATTGATTTCCAAATAATATAGAATTAAAGTAGCTCCTTATTCACAATGTTGTCAGTCATGTCCTTCCATCTGGCCCGTACTTGGGCTACAAGCTCGTCGTCTTCTGGCCCAGTATACGCCTGGTTCTGTGGCCCATATACAGCATGGTTGTTAGATGTTACTTCCACATCTGGACCAATTCAGGTGCACAAACAGAAAATCTTCCAGCTGTCAGTCAATACCAGAGGACAACAGCCAGAATCTGTCCAGATGTGGAGGTAAAGGGGCCAGATGTGGGCCAGGGACCCATCATGCATATGTTGGATCAGAAGTTTAATTTTGCTATCTGGGATTATGTTTAAGTGCAATGTATCTGCATCATAGGGCAATCATAGTTTTAATTTTAAACAAATAATGAAAGGTTATGTAATTGCAGTTTTGTTTTCTCACAGTAAATCTTTGTTTTAACTGTGTAGATCATGTCTGCTGCCAGCTGTCTGCTGACTGAGGATCACTTTCTGTGCTCCATCTGTCTGGATGTGTTCATTGATCCAGTCACCACACCATGTGGACACAACTTCTGTAAGAAATGCATCACTGAACACTGGAATATTAATATCAGTTGCAAGTGTCCCAACTGTGTCAAGGTTTTCTCCCCGAGACCTGAGCTGCGGGTCAATACTTTGATCTCTGAGGTGGTCGTACAGTTCAGAACATCAGCTCAACAGAAAACCAACAGCAGGAGCAGATCCCAGCGAAACATTCGCTGTCATGTCTGCAAAGACATCGAACTGAAGGCCCTGATGTTCTGCCTGGTGTTCCTGGTGTGCGCCTACATTCTGCAGGTGGGTTTTGACCACATAAGACACAACTTTGAGGTTGAACTTCAGCAGATGATCCAGAAGAATCAAATGAAGCTTAATTTGATCAAACACTCAGTGGAGCTCAGTAACAAAGCTGCAGATGGAGAAATAGCAGACGCTGTTGATGTCTTCACCGCTCTGAAGGAGTCTATTGAGAGAAGCAAGGCCAAACTAATCGAGACGATCGAAGAGAAGAGAAGAGCAACAGAGACACAGGCTGAAGGCTTCATCAAAGTGCTGGAAGAAGAAATCTCTGAGTTGAAGCAGAGGAAGATGGAGGTGGAGTGGCACTCTGTGGCTCATCTGGAGGAGACACTCAGTAAAGAGATGAAGAAGCTGCTGGACAAAGCAGAGCTGAAGAGGGTCCAGGATTACGCAGTGGACGTGACGCTCGATCCTGATACAGCACATCCCCAGCTCATCCTGTCTCATGATCTGAAACAAGTCAAACTTGGTGATGTAATGAATGATCTCCCAGACAACGCAAAGAGATTCACTGATTGGCCCTGTGTCTTGGGGAAGCAGAGTTTCTCCAAAGGCAGATTTTACTACGAGGTTGATATTAAAGATCGGGGTGGGCTCGGGGTGGTCAGAGAGTCGATCGACAGAACGAGCAACTTCTTAGAAATCATTCAGGGTGGAGCCTGGATGATGAGGTTGTTCAATGAAAGAGCTTACATCAATGTTGCTGACTCTGTAGTCGAACTCTCTCTAAAATCAGATCCTGAGAAGGTGGGGGTGTTTGTGGATTATGACGAAGGTCTGGTCTCCTTTTATGACGTCAACACTGCAGCTCTCCTTCACTCCTTCACTGGCTGCTCCTTCCCTGAGAAACTCTACCCATACTTCCAACCCTTTTATAGTGATGATCTGATCATCTCTCCTGTCATCCCACAATGAGAACAAACGTTTTCAATTTCTACAAAAAGATTCATTCCTTTACTGAGGTTTCACTCAGTAAAAATAAATCAGTTCTTAATGCAGATGAAACTAAATTCATGCTTTTCACCGGAGCCAAAAAGTGATTTTCAAAATGCTCAAATGATTTCATTACGTTGCAGGTGGCAGCTGTTTTTTTAACTTGTAAAAAACCTATATTCTCACTGTGCACCTGCAACCTGGAACATGCAGAGCAATCTAAAGCTTACATTATTTTTATCCTTAAAGTCACTTGATTTCACATCCAGATGTTCTTCTTCTAGCTGATCGTTGGTGCCTTGAATTTTTACTGTAAATGAGGTCTGTACCTCAATGTGTTTCTGAATTAAAATAAAGGTTGAAAAAAGGAGGAAAAAGCAGGATACACAGAAGTTCTCCCAGTGCCTTCATTTTATTGTTATTTCACTGACGTTGTAAACTAGTTGTAACATGATTAGAACTAGATTTAAACACTTATAAGTTAACTATATTTTCCACTTGATTTCATTTTAATGATTATTTCAAATTTCCAAATTTATGGTTTATTATTTGTGACACTGATGTAAATATAGGAACTAATCTGCTGACCTGATGAGTAGATCCTCTTCTGCCATCTAGTGGTCATCTGTCTGTACTGCGCCACCCCCGTCCTGGTGGTGTCCCTCGACTGCAGCGGGAAAACAGGTAGAAACACACAGACTCTGACACATAAGCTGGTTGTAAACGTCCACACAGGTTATATGCATCATTATCAGAGCCTAAAGGTGACACAGGATAATTAAACTGCTAAATAAATGGAAAAAATGAGGAAAAAAGAAAATCTTATTGCCTTTTATTCCATTGATTTATTTATTCTTGGTCAAATTTAGACTTACTTATTTTTAGTCAATCATACTTAATTTTATTTAGAGTAACTGAGGTCTGTGACTTTCACACAACAAATATTACCTGTCACTTCCTCAGTTACAGTGTTTTTGCAGAACATTATGATGTCACAGTGGAGTTGACCTTTGACCTTTTTGATATCAAATGTCATCATTTCATCCTATTAGACATTTGTGTTGAATTGTGTCATAATGAGAGTGTGAGTTCTGACTGAACTTACGTACATGCGTCTCATTCTTGTGGACACGATATCACAGTGACGCCTTGATGGAACTTCTTCAAATTTGGCACAAACATTCACTAGGACTGAAGGATGAACTCATTAGATTTTGAGGTTCAAAGGTCAAAGTTCAAGGTCATGGTAACCTCACAAAACACAGTTTTAGCCCTGTGAACACAATATCGCCGCAATACCTTGAGGGAATTTCTTCAAATTTGGTACTGTCATACGCTGGGACTCAAGGATGAACTGATTAGACTTTGGGGGTCAAAGGTCAAAGCTGTCACAGTGACATCAGAAAACAATTTTTAGCCATTACTCAAGACTTAACACAGCAATTATGACAAATGTAATCAGACACTAGTCCGAGTGGCCTTTTCTTTTATTAATTTCTAGCATTTTCACTCAGGGTTTTGATGCACTAATTGAACATGTACAAGAAAGCAGGTGGATGGAAACACACTTACTATCATCAGAGTTAATATAAAAGAGGCTCAGACACAAAAAAAAGCACAGAGAGCAAAATAGAGTTCAGTTAAATGTTAAGTCTGAACCCAATAAGAAGCAAACACCCTCCAATAAAGTTCAAATTCTCTGCTGAGAACAGTCATGATGGAACAAACAGAAACACAAATCACAGCAATAAAACAATATACTGGTTAGCTTGAGGATCAATACTCTGCACTGATGTCGCATTGATTTCATGTGAGCAAACAACAGGAGGCTCTCACAGGTGATTAGAGCTCATTAAGGAAGTCAGAGCCAATAATTTCATTAAGACTTCAGGAAGTTACCAAACTGACACAGCGTCTGGAAAACCTGACTCCAAACTCAGCGTGTTGACACGGTAAATAATCAGACCAATAAAGTCAGGGGGAGGTCTGTCGGAGGGGGTACAAAAGGAGGCCGCCCGCACCCTGACAGCCAGTCTGCAGGTGTGATCTGGTTTTATCTGGTCTCTGTGCAGGATCTGTCCAGGTGAGTCTCTTCATACTGGAAACAACATTTGTTCATTTCAGCATCGTCAAAAAATTCTGTTTTGACCAACTTGCATTCGTGTTCAGTGAGGAGCCAACGAAGTTAAATAGGCACAGTGGAGATAATTATTACTATTATTGTTATTTAATTTGTTAATTAATTCATTTTTGCTTTAAAGAATAAAACCTGTTGTTTTTTATCTATTGCTAACAGTTGCTCATTATACTGCAAATAATTAAGCAATTATTTAACTTTTACACAATTATTTTTCATAATCAGTTAAGCTGTCTATTTTTTTTCTCAATTAATCAATTAGTACTTCTGTCGATAAAATGTTAAAAAAAAAAAACGTTAAATGGTGATGTGTTCAAACCCAAAGACAGTCAGTTACTGTGACAGGAAAACAGAAAAATCCTCACATCCAAGAAGCTGTTTGCTGTGAGTAAAAATGAATATTTTTGCAAATGAATTTGCAAGAAAAATCAATTGATCAACTAATTACATGAGTTTTAATACAAGACTTAAATATGCAAACTCATTAAACAGTGACCTGTTTTTATTTATATTTGAATGAAAATCAGCGACGTCTACTATTACTGCTACCTGTTAGTGTCGGAGACACAAATCAGTGACTATATTGGTTGTTACGTAACAAGGTTACACGTGTCTCTTATTTACAGTAGATTTATAAAAAAAATAAAATAATGCAAAAGTTTTGATGCAAACAACGAAAGGAAGACTTTCGCTTCAGGGCCAAGATATTTTTTGCTGGAGGGCCTGAAACTAAATTCTCAAAATTCATTAGAAATGCTGCAACTGGATGAACATATATATAAAAAATGTGTGGTTATATTTGAATTTTCCTTAAAGAAATAGCGATCACTGGTTCTGATTGTTTTAAATTTGAGTAACACTCTGTGGGCCAATACGTCTTGAACTTAACAGTGCATCTTATTTTGCGTAAATGACGTACTAATAAAATAGTTATAAGACTATGGGGAACAAGGGAATAAGAAATGGGCATTTTAGTGGAAAGGAGAAATACATTGTTACTATAAAATATTATTTTCTTTAATATTGTGCAAAACTGAAGTAATGAGAAGGTGTAATATATAATGTGTGGCTGTTCTCCCCTTTTCCGTCTTTAATTACACAATAAGAAAAGGTCATTAACACCATCTTCCCAAGAGAAATGTTTGTTTTTCACACCAGCGTACCTGAGCTGCCCAGCTGCTGAGATTACAGGTACAAACAGAGGCGTCCTGTGGGAAAATCTTTTCTTATGGAGCTGCTTTGTGAACAGATGCAGCGTCATGTTGAAGCAGAACAAAGAAAAACACTGTTGTCTGAAATGTCATCTTTGTGTTGTAGCAGTGAGATTTACCTTCAGTGAAGAAGAAAAATCATCTTGTCTCTTCAGGAAATCCCTATCTTCATCATCCTCATCATGGCGTCCATCAGTGTGACTCAGGTGTTCCTGCTGTTGGCCCTCCTCCACCTCACCACGTCACTTCCTGTCAGGTAAACAATCACCCGAACAACCTTCACAGATGCTGCTGAAAAGTCTCATCTATGTCTGGAAAAAACATCTGCAGAAGAAATCGCTTCATGATTCCTCTTAACATGTTTCAGAGCGCCAATTTGATTTGAAAAAATAGATTTTACCGTCTAGTTTGGTGTAAGATTTCTTCTGCATGTTACAGAGAAATCCTCTTTATTCTCCTCTGGAGAGAGAGGAGTTTCACTTTAGCTGATAGTGTCTTCCTTTCCTGTATTTATGTCTCAAATCTGAACTTTTTCAATCTCCCTTAAAATGTTTTGTATTCTTGTCTTTCTATGTTTTTATGCTGTTCTTCTTACTTTTCTTCATGTTTTTAATGCATTATGTTGCTAAACAAAGAAACCTGCCTTACCTTTGAATGCTGTGAGTCTTCCTCTCCTGTGACCTCAGGGATGAAGATGAAGCGGAGAGTTTCCTGACTGAGAGCAGACACCTGAACGCACCATGGTCTCTGTCAGGGATGAACTCTGCGGACACTCTGCTGGAGGCGAGACTCAGGTAAATCTTCACAAAAACAGATAAATAATCTAATCTTCACTTTCCTGTAGAGCTTTGAATTGTCTCTAAAAGCTAATATAATCAATATTATTATAGAAACAATGTCTCAAATATGTGGAAATAATGACATATGAAAGGTGATGATGAACCCACAGAAAACATTTAGCATCATCCCATAATTGTCACTTCTGGCCACGTCTGTTGAGCACAAGTTTTATAATCTTGTTTTAGATAAAGTTGCTTTAAATAAATAGTTTGAGCAAAGTTTGAACAAACAGATGTGACTGTGTTTCAGGCAGCTGCTATCTGCAGGTCTGGACCGCAGGAGGCAGCTGGGAGACATCGAGTTCTCCAACAGATACGCAGAGTTCCTGCGATCGAAGGCCAAACACAGCTCCATGTGCGCCTTCCTTCGCCGCATGCAGGGCGTCAAGAGGAGGTGTGAGAGAAATGATACCCAGGACGCTTTCGAGAATTACACTTTACAAGCAAAATGTGATGAAGAGGCTTGTTTGGCCCTGGGTTTCGCCTCAGGGCTACAGCTCTAGCCTCTGATGAGTGGTGGTTGTGCCTGCAGGCGTTACTCAGGGCTGTAGAAACACTGAAATCTTCTTTACATGTTTTTCCAGTGAGAAAAAATGGTGTTTTAATATATTACATTATTGTATGTTATCAGTTATAATCAATATTATGGAATATAGCAATACATCAATCACAGGTAAAGGGGCAAATACGATATTTGTTTTATCATTAAGTATCAGGCGTCTGTTGAAATATTTAAGTAGAATTAGTGCATGAAATGATTTTTAGACAATTCATTTGGATATCCCAATAAAAAAATCCTTTATAATATAAATATAATATTTGATTTTGTTTGCTTATTTGCAAATGCAGGAAGAAGCACTCACATATTTGTGTTTTTTTGTCCACAGCGGGGTGGGAGGAGACATGGAGAGGGTGAACCTGCTGCTGAAACAGTACATGTGTCCGTCCGTCTACAACAACTGGCCGACCGACCTTTAAACACAGCAGAGAGAGAGAGAGAGCGAGAGAGACAAACATGTTACTGATGTTCTGAAAAAAGCTCTTTATATGAAGCTGTTATCATATTTAATATGGAAACATGTGGATATCTTTGTTATTAAAAGAAGTTTCATGAAGGTGTTTACTGTGTTTGATTAGTGGATATTAACGAGGACTGTTATAATGAGTTATCGATCTCAGTGAAAGACTGAGAATGAAATGAGTCTAGAAAGTTAAAAACAACATTTGCCCTGAAGGTGACGCTGGATGAAAGATCACAGGGCCATTCAAATCTAAAGGATTCATCGTTAAAACAGGTTGCACCACAGAAACTAGTTCTTACATAGACATAAGTTTATAAATATTTACACCCAGTAAAGACCAGTTGTAGCTGCAGATAACAACCCAACCAACATATACAACCCAACATATGCCTGGAGATTCGGCCCAACTCTGGCCCACATACTTCCACAGCTGGGCAGAATCCTGCCGTTATCCTCCAGACAGCCAGTTTTCTGTGTGTGCGCCAGAGTTGGTCCAGATGTGGAAGTAGCATCTGACAGTCATGTTGTATATGGGCCAGATTCAGGCTGCAAAACTGGGCACAACCCTATATGGAGCTCCTTGTATGTAGAACTCAGACATGCTAACTCCTCATCTTATCTCTCCTTGTCTGACGTAGGTCGACGTTTATTTGTCTGGTTTTATTTTGTTGGTAAAGCACTTTGTTAAGAGAAGTGCTATATAAATAAAGCATGTGGTGCATTAGCCTGCTGGACGTAACCATTAGAAGATGGTAAACTGAGGCCATAAAAGGACACACATGGTCAGCAATAATAGATTCAAATGCTGTGGCATTCAAATGATGGTTGGTTTGTACTAAAGGGCCTGAAATGTGCAGAGAAAACAACCCACACCCCATTACACCAACACCAGCAGCCTGGACTGTTGACACAAGTCAGGTTGGGTTCATGGGTTCATGCTGTAGAAGCCAAATTCTGACCCTTGGCCGGATCCACCATGAGCAGAAAGAGGCCTCTGTGATGGTCAGACAGAGGAGACATGAAATCTACTAGTTAACAAACAATAATCAATTAAAACTTTATTATACAACAGTTAGTTCCAGTTTGATCGATCAAAGCACAGCTGTGCTGATGTTCAGAATGACATCATGACCTCCAGTGTGATATTGCTTAATTTTATAGTTCTATGTTTTCTAGCGGATTAATCTTTCTCATTGGACGAGCCACACCTGATATCAGTGAGGTTGTAGAAAGATAAAAAAGGGAAGAAAAAAATGCAAACGCAGTAAAAAAAATGTCTATTATCAGTAGTTTTTTCAGAAAAACTAAAAAACGAAGTAGTTTTTTTTTTTACAGCTACATTGATTCCAACGGCGGATGTCGAGCTAGCTAACAGGGATGATAGCGTAGAAGCGTTGCCCTCTGTTAGCTATGCAAACACACAGGTAGCTACTGGAGAAGGAGTGGACAAAGACGGGGATGACAGTGACCAAACAGAGCGAGATAATGACACTTCAAGCTCATTTGGCAGAAGAACCTGCATCATGGTCGGTTACAGAGAACGTCCAGGAAGGTTTTTTCAGTCTTAAACTGTCCAGTGTTGTTGAGTCTGAGTCCACTGTAGTCTCAGGTTTCTGTTCCTTGTGACAGGAAGTTGAACCTGAACTTAGTCCTCTGCTGTTTTAGTCCGTCCACCTCAAGGTTGGATGTGTTGTTCACTCTGAGGAGCCTTTCTGCACCACTCTCTGTTGTAGAGAGTGGTTATCTGAGTGACCGCAGCCTTTTCTGTCAGCTCCAATCAGTCTGTCCGTTCTCCTCTGAACTCTCCCGTGTTTCATCAACAAGGTGTTTCCTCCACAGAGCTGCTGCTCACTTCAGCAGTTTCAGAAACACTCAAACCAGCCACGGTAAAATCACTGAGATCACATGAACTGAAGCTCCTGACCTGTGCCTGCTTGTTTTTATCCACTGGATAATTACATGATTAAGCAGGTGTGCACATGTTCCTAATAAAGTGCTTGGTGAGTGTCCTTTCTGTACTTATATTATATGATATGGAGGCTTTAGATGATATAAAACTTAAGTAATGCTATCATTAATTCTTCCCACTTCTGTATGTGTGTATTCGTGTAACAGTCATATGTCTCAAGTTAAACTAATTAAAATGAAGTTAAAACAGTTGGTGACAAAATACAATTAAAAAAAAACTTATATGACATCCCAGCAAATAGACGTGTTTGTTGTGTTTTTATGACGGGGAAAAGTCCACTGCAGCCATAAAGCCGAGCAGATAAGCAGAGAGCAGAGACAGATGAGGATCAGTCCAGACAGTGACGGACGGACGGACGGACGGAGACATGAACGGGCTTCATCCACACTTCACCGTGAGGACGTCCCTCAGCTTTCTGCTCCTGATCCTGCTTCAAACGTCCACCGAGGCCGTGGAGGGTGAGTACTGAACTTTATCCGACTGATGGTGTCACCTCACAGAAAACCATGGGCTCAGTAACCGTCTGCTGGTGCGAACAGACCAGTTCTAACTATTCATGCTGTGTAAATGAAACCAGAAGAAGAGCTCAGGCCGGCTGAGAAAGGAAGTAAAAATAGCGCAGTGGAAAGTATGTGCGTGGAGGCAAAAGAGATGAAGGGTGGAGACAGGTATTTTAAGCGCTGCTGTTCAAAGTGCAAATCCTGATCATTTATCAATTGATCTATGGATTTATTTTAGTCAATTACAAAGCTCTTGAATACTGAGGAAATGGTATGATAATACATTTTTATAACACACTATAATGTAGCTTCAATTTAAGACCTTGCTGATTATGGAGGACTATGATTATGTCACAGGGAAAGTAATAAAGCATTTCCTCAATTTCATATAAAAATAGGAATTGTAAAAACAATTGATTAATAAACTCAACATCAATAAATACGATTAAAAAATGGATTTACAAAAACAGCCTAGAACATTCATTAAATAAACCATTATTTATAAAGGCTAAATGTAATTTTGTTGAATGACTCAGATTAATAAAACAGCCACTGGTTCTTCTTGGTACAAATTTAAATGTGGAGCAGTAGAAGAAAACAGGGCTGAACTATGAGGAGCTCAGGTGTAACAATTGGTGATTTCAGTGGACAGGAAAGTGGAAACAAAAGCGAAGTTAGGGGAAATTAACAAAATGGTGTTAATACCTGGGCGGACAAAAGCTGTTGTGGCAGACGACAGTTTAAAATGATAAAAGTAAATCCACCTTCAGATTGCTGCGTCAGAAACACCCTCCATGTCTCAGTGGATTACGTAACCTGTGTTTCCTCAACTCGTTGGCAGAGGCTCATAGTCAAGCACCTCTCCACAACCATCCTCCTTATTTTACCACCAGTGACACAGAGTGGATACCCTCTTTATTTAAATTATAAAACTGGAATTTAACTATAACTGGCCTGGTGTGTTTGAAAACGCTTGAGTGCAACTTTGAGGTACTTGTACTTTAGTATTTCCATTTTCTGCTACTTCATGCTTCCACTTCAGTTCAGAAGGAAACGTTTACCAGCTGCAACATTTATTCCAGCTGCATCAATAAAGTCTAACTTACTAAAATTAATTTAATACATTGTTCTGAAACGAGCTGTTCTGCATAATGAGTCATTTTACTTTTGGTACTTTCAGTTTATTTTGATGTAAATGATCTAATCTTCCTAAATTATAGTGTCACTATTTTTCCTATTTTATGAAACTATATTTGATTATATTCTAGTAAGAAACCTCCTTTTTCATTGCAAACACAGCATTTTCTTCATGTTTACCTGTTGTCTTGGTAAATCAATCGTAATTTGTTGCTTTAGTATGTACGGGTCTAGACCTCTAAATGTAAAGCACTTTCAGGTTTTTCATGGTTTTCAGTTTTGGGTAGCAGTCTGAACTATGTACTGGATGAGCGGAGATGAAACTGATATCAATTTTCTAATCTGACTTTGGGCACTTCTTTAACTGTGACAGTTGTGTTGTTCTTCTCTCCCAGCAATCTGTTCTGGCCCTCAATCTGTGGAGTTTCCAGAAAACAACACAGTGGGTGCAGTTGTAGCAAATATCATTGTCAAACCAGGAGTGACCCTTGAGTTCAGTCCTTCTTCTGACAGCCCCAACCCGTTCGAGCTCCAAGGAAATCAGCTGATAGCTGCAGCAGTGTTGGACTATGAGGTACTGTAGGACATGACTAATAGTGCCAGCCAGATCTGAAAACCACGTCCCAGTTTCGATCGAACAATCTTTGAAGAAACGTAATTGTTGAGCATGAAGTTTTTTTGGTTTGCAGACGGAGAAAAGTCACATTGCCAGGATCACCTGCACTGAGACAGCTACAAACCTGAAGGTAAAACTTTATATATGTTTCACTGAGATAAAAAAAAATCTGCAATATTCTAATTTAGATTTGTAATTTTTAACTCTGTTGTTTGTTTACATTTTTAAAAAAGACTGAATGAGGTATTGTAAAGTCAGCATGGATACAGATAGAAAGAAACAACATTAACAGTCCGAGAGGCTTGAGGAGGTTGTACAGGTTCTTGTTGAGGTTCTGAATGTAATGAACAGGTTGTGCAGCTTCTAGGAGGTCTTCCAAGTCCTCCTAGGTTTTAAAGCTTTTAGAGGAGGCTGTAAAGGTAGTTGGAGAGGCTGTGTAGGTTCTTGTCAAGGTTCTCCAGGTACTTCAGGAGGTTCTCTAGGTGCTTGAGGGGTTTTTAAAAGGTGTTCGAACAGGTTGTGCAGATTCCAGGACATTGAGGAGGTTGTACAAATGCCTGAGGAACCTGTGTACGTTCTTGAAGAGGTTGTAATGGTTCTTCAGGAGGATTTACAGGATCTTGAAGGTTGTAGAAGTTCCTACGAAGGTACACAGAGAGGTTGTACAGGTACTTGAAAAGCATGTACAGGTTTTGGTGGTGGTTGGTAAATGGTTATCCTGGTGCATGAGGAGGTTCTGCAAGTGCTTGAGGTTGCTGGAAAGTTGTGCTTAAGGAGGTTTTATGGGTTCTTCAGGAGGTTCTCTGTGCTTGGAGAGGCTAGAAAGGATGCTTAAGGAAGTCCTCCATGCACATGAAGAGGTTGTAAAGCTTTTAGAGGAGGCCGTAAAGGTAATTAGAGAGGCTGTACAGGTTCTTGTTGAGGTTCTCCAGGTGCTTGAGGAGATCATACAGTTTCTTCAGAAGATTCTACAGATGTCTGAGGAGCCTGTACACATGTGTGAAAAACTGGTACAGGTGCTTGAGGAAGTTCTCCAGGTGCAAGAAAAGGTATTAATGATTCTTGAGAGAGATTATAGAAAAAGATGTGAAGGTTCTCAAGGAGGTTCTCCAGGTGTTTGAGGGATTTGTACAAGTTAATGAGTAGACCAGAAAGGTTCTTCAGGAGGTTATACAGGTTCTTGAGAAGATTCTACAAGTGCTTGGATAGATCTACATATGTTTGAGGAGCCTGTACAGGTTTTTGAAAAAGGTTATACTGGTGTGTGGGCAGGTTCTCTAGATACTTATAGCAGTTTTACAGGTTTTTCAAAGGTTGTTCAAAGTTTTGAGGTTTCTGTTTGTTCCACAGTGTTGAACATCATGGGATAATGTGATATTATTTGATATTAAGAGTCAGGTTCGTCATGGACCTTGAAAAACTGGAGGCCAGAATTCTGTCTTTATTTCCTTCTTAATACTTAATATTATAAAAGTTGTAATAATATCATCAGTAAAATGCATAATTAAAACTAGGATTGTGTCTCTTTGTTTCCAGTTGAACTTCGTCATTGTTGTAATTTTGATCAATGAGAATGATAACAAACCAGTCTTTGACCAGAACCCCTACCATATCGATGTCTATGAGGTAAGAATGTACCTTTAATTACGCGGGAATTATTGTTTAAAATTGTAGATTTTTTGGTTTATTTATTCTGTTATTTGGTAACACATTATTATAGTTGTTTTTTTAAATGTGTATTTTACCTTAAAAAAGCAACACATTTTTGTCCCAGATGTCTCCTGTAGGAACAACCGTGGGCCGCTTCGTTGCCACAGACTTAGACCAACCCAATCAGCTCTACTATACACTCACACCTGAGTCTGTAAGACATCATGTTTACTTGTCTTTTGTTTGGATATTACCTTCCAGGATATGTTTAGCCTAGCTTAGCACAAAGACTGGAAGTAGGTTTAAACATATCTAATCAGTTTTTGTTGTCCTGTTTAATTTCTGTTGAAGGGCTTTGAACTGAAGTCACCTACCAACCCAGATCTCCTTGTTCAGACGCCTATCGACTATGAGAAAGTCAAAAATGTCCGTCTGGTGCTAACTGCTCAGGTGAGAAATGTTCACAGCTGGTTTTAAACACACAACACACGTCTCTTTCTTTCATCTAACTGAAATTAAATTTGACTCTATGAAATAGTAGGTTGGGGGGTCATCCACAAATCTATAATAAATATGACCTTTTATGCCTTACTATACCATGACTTTTTTATGCCCTATTACACTAAAAAGTTTTTATGCCTTATTGTTATTTGATGTTTTGTGACACTTATACTTTACTGTACTGTAACGTTTTTTCAAGGTTTTAATGCCTTACAATACTGTGACTATGACTTTCTTATGACATACTATACTATGACTTTTTTTTATGTTTTCATGCCTTACTATATTATGACATTTTTTGACGTTTTTATGCTTTATTATACTGTTAGATATTGTGATATTTTTATACGTTTCTTTGCTATGACGTTTTTTGAAATTTTTGTACCTTTCAATATTAGGACATTTTGATGCCTTAGTTTACTATGACATTGTTTTTATGTTTTTATGTCTTACAACTATGATGTTTTTGACGTTTTTGTGTTTTACTATATTGTGACGTTTTTATTCTTTACCATATAATGTAAATTTTACACCTTACTATACTATGACGTTTTTTGACATTTTATGCCTTACTATACTATGACATTTTTATGCCTTACTATAGTTGGACTATTTATGCTTTACTATACTATGACGTTTTTTGACATTTTATGCCTTACTATAATATGACTTTTAATGCCTTTCTATACTATAACATTTTATACCTTATTATACTATGACTTTTTATGCCTCACTAAACTATGACTTTTTATGCCTTACTATATTATGTCGTTTTTATGACTTTTTATGCCTTACTATACTATGACTTTTTATGCCTTACTATACTATGACTTTTTATGCCTTACTATACTATGTCGTTTTTATTAAAGTTTTTATAATATTATACTCTATAGGTGTGTTCAAATTCACTATCTATGACATTTTATTTAAGTATGATTGAGTTTTGTAGATCATTTATGCCTTACAATCATGATGTTTTTTTGCCTTATATATATGACTTTTTGTGCCCTTATATACTTGTGATGTTTTTTGACGTTTTATGCTTACTATACTATGAGTTTTAGGTTACTATCTATTGACTTTGATGCCTTATCCGTATGATTTTATGCATACTGATACTATGAGATTTTATGCTTAACTATTATGATTTATCCTATATACTTGAATTTTATGCTTTATCTATGAGTTTTTTGACGTTTTTCTGCCTTATTCTGATGATGTTTTTTTTGAATTTTTTTGCTTACTATTACTAGATTTTTATGCTTACTATCTCATTATTGGTTTTTTTGACGTTTTTAGCCTTACTACTGTTGACTTTTGACATTTTTTTGCGTTACTATACATGATTGATAATCTTTTTTAATGCTTTACATACTTGAACTTTTTTTGACATTTTCATGCCTTACCAGTAGATGACGTTTTTTGACATTTTTGCCTTTACGTAC